AATTGGAGATGTACTGAGGAAAGGGAAAATGGGCAAAAAGGACATTTAGGATACTTTCTTGCCCTGAATGAGCAGTGAAGATTTATCTGATAAGGACAAGTTGATTGGTTAGTCATTTTGAGAAAATAAAAACTCCATGTTCATGAAATAATATATTTATTTATTTATTTTTTTCGAAATAATATATTTAAAACACATTCTAATAATGGCAACTAAACAATGGTAGAAATGTTAAATAAATGTTGAACATCTTATAATCCTATATAAGTCTTATATATCTGTTAATTATATGTGTGTAGTTATCTATATACACAGAGAGAAGTAAATTTACTATTTACATTTTCAAATTTCTTTCCCCATGAAATATTACATTTCATTTGCTAAGGCTATGGTTCTCAAGTCTGGTTCCCAGATGAAGACCATCAATATCACATTAGAAAGTGTTAGAATGCAAATCTCAGGTAGTACCTGAGCTCCACCAGTCAGAAATTCTGAGAATGGGCCCAGCAATTTGTATTTCATCAAACTTTCTAGTTAATTTTTATGCATGCTAATGTTTGACAATCACTGTGTTACAAGATCCTTAGCTGATAAGTGAGGCAGAATGGGTATGCTTGTTCCAACGTGAACTAGAAATTATATTTTTAAGTATTTTTTTAAAGCAAAGCAATTGAATCAGAAAAACTGAACTATGTAAGTATGATAAACAGTCTCAGACATCAAACCAAAAATAGTATCTCACTTTAAAAGGTAACATAATAATAGGTAACACCATTGTGATGCTTACTCTCAATGTGCCAGCCATGGTTCTAGGAACTTTCCATATAATAACCTATTGAATCATCATAACAATCCACTGGTGTGTATTGAGAGTATTTTGAGGTGTAGCCACAAGTGAATGAACTGATTCCCCCTATTAATATGCTCACTGGGACATAGAAGTCACTGAGACATGGAAAGGTTATATGATTTGTCCAAAATACAGAACTGATAGAAGAAAACAAGTCACAGAGTAAACAAGTAGCAGACATGGGATACTAACTCTAATTGCAAATTGCCATATTCTCACTTTTTTTTTAAGTGGGCTCCATGCTATGCATGGAGCCCAATGTGGGGCTTGAACTCATGACCCTGAGATCAAGACCTGAGCTGAGATCAAGAATCAGGTGCTTGGGATCCCTGGGTGGCGCAGCGGTTTGGCGCCTGCCTTTGGCCCAGGGCGCGATCCTGGAGACCCGGGATCGAGTCCCACGTCGGGCTCCCGGTGCATGGAGCCTGCTTCTCCCTCTGCCTGTGTCTCTGCCTCTCTCTCTCTCTCTGTGACTATCATAAATAAATAAATAAATAAATAAATAAATAAATAAATAAATAAATAAATAAATAAATAAATAAATAAAACTTAAAAAAAAGAATCAGGTGCTGTACCAACTGAGCCACTTGGGTGCCCCATTTCTCACCTTTAATCATGAGAAAATGCTGATGTTTGTAATAAGTTGTGTTAGGTACCTAAATTTTATTTATAAACTATTTGCTTCTGAAAAGTAGTGCATAGGTGAGACAACCCTATTTGTAGATCAGTACAAATGGGGGCATTTGGAACTAATCAGTTCAGCTTGCAGGTGAGGATTTGACCAGAAAGTAGTTTAATTTGAGAAATTTTTGGCTGGACTGTATTGCCAATTCCCCCGTTCCCCTGCATTACATTACTCCTTGATGCCTTATATCTGTAGCCCCTTGAATTTATCTTACTTGCTTGGAACTAGCAGGCATTTGAATAATGAGAGGTTCGGTTGATTGATTAGTCAATATGAATCCTAAAACAAAGCTCCTCTCAAAGTCACAAGCTCAAATGATGGAATGTTTGCTCTTTATTCATCATCTGGCATGAAGGCTACTTTGTTTGGGTGTAACCTCTGTCCAGAGGAGTTTCTCTGTGGAAATTTCATTCTCTTCACCCTGGATGCCTAAGTGGGGTTTGGCATGAGTAATAATGAGCAAGAAAACAAATGGGAATCAGCAGAAGCTGCTTGAACATTCAAGTCTCCAGGGTATGTATTTTCTATTTTGAGTCACAGGTTGAAGAATGAGTCAGTGAACACAGCTGATGCAAATCACAAGCATTTTTGTTCGTTTGTTTTTGGTGATGGATAAGTGAGTATTAATTAATATTTGTTTTCTTCTTTAGTTTCTTTATTCTGCAGCTTTATTGAGATATAATTGACAAATAACATTGTGTAAGTTAATGATGTGCAATGTGATCTCTATCTATCTGATTAAAATAATATGGGTACTTAAACATCCATCACCTCACAGTTACCATTTAGTGTGTGTGTGTGGTGTGTGTGTGTGTGTGATAACATTTAAGATCTACTCTGGACAATTTTCAAGTATACAGGACAGAATTGTTAACTAGAGTTACCATGATGTGTTGGATCTTCCTCCCACCCCCCATTCTTTTTTAAGTATTTACACTGAGACTTCCTCTTCTCCACCCACCAAACCCAGAGGGGGCTGAAACTCCTGGTAATTACAGAAGGACAAGGGCAGCAATTTAATTAAAGCTTGCTGTGACTGCTCTTATCATAGCCATCAGGAAATATACACCCAGGCCTGGGTTTTTCCCTTTGGTAGAACAAACTAGATAACATGTCCCTGTTTATTGGAACAGTCCCAAACAGTCATGCGGTACATGATTTGTTAACTACACTGATTCTGACCTGAGTCAGCAGGGGAAACAAGAGGCTTGAGATGCTTAGAAACTTGTGGGCCTGCAAGTCAAGGCACTTTGCATACTTCAGATACTTTATTTCTCCTTTAATTTCTGAAACAATTTTCTCCCAAGACTTTCCTCTAGTAGGATACCAATAAGTCCACAGGTGACTATACCTCTAAATACTCAGATTTCCTTGACCATAATGCCACTGTTACATAATGCGGTGAGTGCCCCACTGCCAGGGTCGGGGGGGGGGCAGGGGGAGTGAAGCTTATATAGATTCAGTGTGAATGAGACCTGACCCCAGTATGGCTAGATTCTCACTACATTCTAACACCCCTGCTGCAAACATTCTTGGGCTATGCCTCCTTTCTCTCCTTGTTCTGCTTCACTCTCTGGCTAATGATTATCCATTTTCGTGCATAATGAACTTAATATTAACTTAGGTTAATTAGTTTAATAATAATTTACTAGTAAGTAAAATAGCTATCCCTAGTTTTATACAATGTCATATTTTATAATCCACATAGTACCACTTGCATTAATACTATCTCTAAAACATTACTAATTTAAAAAAGAACAAAACATTACTTAATTAGGTTCCTCTTACACGAGGTGTGAGTATTAAATAAAACTATTCTACAAGTCATATAAAGCCATCATTGATCAGGTCCACACAACAAATACTTCAGCCTCAAAACTTCTACTTTCCATCATTTTTTTCTAATAAAAAGATGTAATATTCAATAATTTAAAAATATACATTGTGTATCCTAAAATATTTTATATAAAATAATGTTGAAGTAACCTATTTAAATGACAAAATTTGACGAACTTCTAGAGTTTTATTTTTACTACAATGTATCTTTCTTACTATGATTTAGCTTACTTACTTCCAAAATAAAACCAAGAAAAAACCTAAGATTAATAATTGATAACTGGTAAACTACTAGAGACTAATTCATTTTAATAAGCCATTAAATGTCCTGCTGTGGCATGCCCTTCTCCATTGCCTGCTCTATGGTCCATGGTTCAAAGGCAGATATTTAAAGGGACCAAATCAAAATAATATATAAGAGAAAATACACTGTCAAGGAAATTTGAAGGGAATTAGTAATATAAAAATATTGAGCATTTTTTCACATATATATGGATCAGAAGAGAAGGCCAAGAAACAGGTAAAAAAAATCTGTGAAAGGTGATTCTGGTATAGGTAAGCATTGCACACCTAGGAAAAGATAAGAATTTATTGATATTGGAGTGCTTATTTATGTAAAATAGGTGTCTCTCACACTATACCAAAAAAAAAAAAAAAAAACCCCATCAATTCCAAGTGGATTAATGACCTATGAAACACAAACCTGCAAAACAAAAACAAACACCTCAAACATTCAGATCCTGAAAAAGAATAGATAAATATGGGTATTTAAGTTTCTGCACATGGGCACCTGGGTGCTCAGTCTGTTAAGCCTCTGCCTTCAGCTCAGGTCATGATCTCAGGGTCCTGGGGTCCAGCCCTACTGGCTCTCTGCTCAATAGGGAGTCTGCTTCTCCCTCTCCGACTGCCCCTCCCCCCTGCTCTTTCTCTCTTTCTCTCTCTCAAATAAATAAATAAATAAATAAAATTTTTAACAAAAAAATAAATTTCTGCACAAAAAAAGACATCACAAACAATATGAAAGAAAAGCCACAATCTGGGAGAAAATATTTGCAATGCATATAATTTATAAAAGATTGGTATCCTGAAAAAGAACTGCAAATGAATGGGTAAAGAGATAAGCAAACCACAAGAAAAAGAAAGATTCAAGTTTGTAAAAAGGTAATTCATATTAGAGGAAATAGGAACAACCAACAAAGAAATGAAAATATGTTCAACCTCACTAGAAATCTCAGAAATGCAAATTAGAACAATGAGATTCCTTTAAAAATATCAGTTGATCATAACTGACCATATCAAGATGTGGTGGGTATATAAAGCAATAGCAATGCTCATATGCTACTGTTGAAACTATAAATTAGTATAACTGATTTGGAGAGCAATGTTACAATATCTCATGATAATGAAAATGCTCATACTTTTAGAACTACCAATTCCAATAATAGAAATAGCTTCAGAGAACCTCTTCTATATGCATATAAGGAATCATGCACAGAAATATCTAGAATATTGACTATAGAGAAAGATTAGTGTATTAGGATTCTCCAGAAAACTAGAATGAGGGAGGGGAAAGGCAAAAGGGAGGGTCGGAGTGGAGAAAAAGGAGAGATTTTAAGGGAATTGGCTCACATGATTGTAGAGGCTGGCAAGTCCAAAGTCTGTAGGGTAGGCCAACAGATTGGAGACCAGGGAAGAGAGGATGCTGCAGTCTGAGTGTGAAAGCACTATTTGGCAGACTTCTCTTTTCTTTGAGGGAGGTCAATCATTTTTAATTAAGGTTTTCAACTGGTTGGATGTGGCCCACCAATATTATGGTGGGTCACTGGCTTTAGTAAGTCTCCTTTAAATGTTAATCTTGTCTATTTTTTAGACAAGAATCATGTAGGATAATATGTGACCAAATATCTGGGCACCTAGGCCTACCCACATTAACATATTAACTAGCATAGTTAGCAACAACGAAAATGCCCATCCAGAACAGAATAGGTAAATACCTGGTACTATGGTCATAAAGAAAGGGTACTATATATAACCATAAAAATGTGCAAACTAGAGATACAAATATCAACATAGACAAGGTACAAAATAATAAATAGTGAATGAAACATTTACAGAAGCTATATATAGTATGATGCCATTGATATCCTATTAAAGCAAATGAAACGTAATACTATATATTATTTATGGATATTCATATGGAAAAATATATATGTATGTACTATACACACACACAATGGGAAGAATAATGGCCTCACAAAAATATCCATATTCTTTTTTTATAATAAATTTATTTTTTATTGGTGTTCAATTTGCCAACATACAGAACAACACCCAGTGCTCATCCCCTCAAGTGCCCCCCTCAGTGCCCGTCACCCATTCACCCCCACCCCCCGCCCTCCACCCCTTCCACCACCCCTAGTTCGTTTCCCAGAGTTAGGAGTCTTTATGTTCTGTCTCCCTTTCTGATCTTTCCCACACATTTCTTCTCCCTTCCCTATTATTATTTATATTATTTATTTACTCCCTATTTATATTCCCCTTTCACTATTATTTATATTCACTATATTGATATAGACTTTATATGACTTGTAGATATTATATATCACTATATCACTATTATTTATATTCCCCAAATGAATGAGAACTATAATGTTTGTCCTTCTCTGATTGACTTATTTCACTCAGCATAATACCCTCCAGTTCCATCCACGTTGAAGCAAATGATGGGTATTTGTCATTTCTAATGGCTGAGGAATATTCCATTGTATACATAAACCACATCTTCTTTATCCATTCATCTTTCGATGGACACCGAGGCTCCTTCCACAGTTAGGCTATTGTGGACATTGCTGCTATAAACATCGGGGTGCAGGTGTCTCGGTGTTTCATTGTATCTGTATCTTTGGGGTAAATCCCCAGCAGTGCAATTGCTGGGTTGTAGGGCAGGTCTATTTTTAACTCTTTGAGGAACCTCCACACAGTTTTCCAGAGTGGCTGCAAAATATCCATATTCTAAACCCTGTGTTATGTTACATAGCAAGGGTGAATTAGGTGGCAGATAGAATTAAAGTTGTTAATCAGGTAAACTTAAAATAGAGACATTATCCCTGATTATCCAGGATGGCTCAATATAAATCCCCAGGGTCCTCTGAATGTGGGAGAGAAAGCAGAATTGGAGTCAGAGATAGAAATGTTACAGTGGAAGCATTTGCTGGCTTTAGCGATGAAAAGAAGCTGTAAGTCAAGGAACATAGGTGGCCTGTGAAGATGGAAAAGTCAGGGGAAAGGATTGTACTCTAGTGCCTCCAGGGAAGAATGAAACTCTTTCAATACCTTTATTTTAATCTGGTACATTAGTCTGCTTAGAGTACCATAACAAAATATCACAGACTAGAAGGCTTAAACACAGAAATTTATTCTCACAGTCAGATGAGAGCTCCTTTTCTGACTTGTAGATGCCCCCTTTTGTACGTCCTCATAGGCCTTTCCTTGGTTTGTGTGCATGAAGAGAGGACTCTAACCCTATTGGAAGGGCTACACCCTTTATATTCATTTAAACTTAATTGCTTCCTTAGAGTAATTAAATTACTTTGGTGTTAGGGGTTCATCATATGGATTCTGTGGAAACACAAATATTCAATTAATGATGCCTAGTAGGAGTCATTTCAGACTTTTGACCTCCAGAACTATGAAATAGTAAATTTGTATTGTTTAAAGCCACTAAGTTTGTAGTGGTTTGTTATAGCAGCATTAGTAAACTGGTAGAGATTTTGGGATCTGGGAGTCGGGTGCTACCAATACCTAAAAACGTACAAGTAGGGATGCCTGGGTGGCTCAGCGGTTAAGCATCTGCCTTCAGCCCAGGGTGTGATCCTGGAGTCCCAGGATCGAGTTCCGGGATCGAGTCCCTCATTGGGCTCCCTGCGTGGAGCCTGCTTCTCTCTCTGCCTATGTCTCTCTTTCTTTCTCCGTGTCTCTCATGAATAAATAAATAAAATCTTTTAAAAAATGTAGAAGTAGTTTTGGGATTTGGGAATAGGTAGAAACTGGAAGAATTTTAAGGAGCATGATAGAAAAAGCTATGATTGCCTTAAGTAAACTGTTCACAGAAATATGGATATAAGTGACTCTGCTGTCAGTACCCAGAAGGAAGTGAGGAACGTGGTAGGAAAATATGTGCTGTTTTAGAGAACATCTATGTCATCATGAATAGACTGATGGTAGAAATATGGATTTAAGGTGAGGGCCAGATGAAAATGAAGAACATTGGAAACTAGAGGAAAAAGGGTATTTGTTAGATAATATCAGAAGCTTAGCTGAACTGTATCCTCTAGTAATTTTATAGTCACTACCTTATTCTTTTCAAATTAATAGGTATCTTATAGGCAGCTGCTTTGGGACAGCGTAATACATTGTTACTGATATAGTAATATAGGAGTACCTCAAACTTTTACCACCGATTTTAGCAGCCATTAATGTTTTCTTGCTGGAATCAAATTATGATAATTGGCAAATAGTGATTTTTCTAATTCCATCATTTCTTGTACATTTTTTTTTAGTTGGCTTCTACTGCAAACAGTAACCTTCCTTCCTTGCCTCTTCCCCTTTTTTTTTGGAGCATAATAGTTCTTGGGGAGCATTGAATCATATTTAAAAAGTGCCTTATTCTAGCTACTGGGGTCATAGTGATTATTGTTTTCATTGTCAGATTAATTAATTATCATAGGGAATCAAGATAGACACGCTAACTGAGCTTGACTTACTAGGATGACATTCCTTATTCTGTTTCTAACTAGAATCATTAGGTTTGTCTACTTGTTGAGTACTTTTGACTGAAAGATGTTATCAACCCAGGGCACCTATGTGACACAGTTGGTTGAGCATCTGCCTTCAGCTCAGGTCATGGTCCCAGGGTCCTAGGATCAAGCCCTATGTTGGGCTCCCTACTTGTGGGGAGCCTGCTTCTCCCTTTCCTCCCTGCCTGTACTCTCTCTCAAATAAATAAAATCTTTAAAAAAGTTGTTATCAACACTCCTTCCTGACACCCCATCATGCAATAACTCTCCTCCCATAAATACACCCAGACACAGCTCTGAGATTTCTAGCCAGTCTCTGTGAGTGCCTGCTGCATGATGACATGATTAAAGAGATAAATTGGCCAAGTCCCCACAGTTTATGAATTCAGACTACATGGAATTGGGGTATGGGGTATGGCCTCAGGAGACTTACAGTATTTGCTGAAAACTGACACTTAAACTGAATATCAGAGAACGTTCTGTCCCCCACTCCCCACTCCCAGGCTAAGAAGCACCGAGGGAAAAGAACAGCGAATTACAGCTGGTGATGCTGCAAGTGACAGATTCTGAGGAGCAGACATTTAGTAAAACCCTCTAGCAAACTAACTCCCATCTTGAATACCGGAAGACTTTGCTGGAGGTGTCCTGAGAGTAAGCATAACAACAAACTGCAAACTAAGCCCAGTTTGTGACCAGATAAACACAAGTACTGGATAACTCGTATACCACAACCCAATGTGAGCTCACTGAGCATTACAAAATTTCCATCACTGTGAGCTCTCCCATACAACATAGATCCTGTGATGCTGCATCTTCCTGCATCTGGCCAGGTGGTACTCAGTTGCATTTTGTCCCCCCATCTCTGATGATGATCGTGTCAATCACTTGATTTTGGTAGGGGCTGCTAGGCTTTGCTGTAAAATTACTCTTCCCCTGTTAAAATTAAAAATATTTTGTGGGCTAGTGACTTGAAACTATAGGTCTTTTAGTTCTCATCAAACTTTTAATTTACACACTTATGTCTATCTGCAGGAATGTGTGGTATCCTATTTTACTAAGTAATAATGCCTTGCTATTAATATTTTGATGCTCAAATTGTCTTTAATTTTGCTGGTAGGAGTCCTTTCAAGGTGGTTCTTTCATCTTTTAGACATGCCCCATCAAGCACCTCCTTGCTTTTTCTATAAGATGAGGTTAGTCTTGTTCTTTTCCCTGACACAACTCTAGGATCAACCATTTCTTAAAGAGCCCAGTTCAAGTGCAGAGTGTATTTAGAAGCCAAGATTTAGAACTTGGCTGACAGAATGAAAACCTGAGATGTGACACTTTTCCTTTGTTCTCTTCTGGGTAAAAGACAGGCAACGAGAACCCCTGTTCTGAACGAGTGCATGACACTCTATCTCCATAGGTCACAGTATTCTGAGGGAAAGAGTCGCTGAAGTGGTATAGTCTCCACTCTAAGGCAGGCATAGGGAAACAGGACAAGGCCACAAATACCCTTATAAGATTTACCTTTTTGTCCCACACCCTTTGTTCCTTTAAAAATGCTTGTGTTTGGGATACCTGGGTGGTTCAGCTGGTTGAGTGTTTGCCTTCCGCTCACGTCATGATCTCAAGCTCCTAGGATCAAGCCCCACATTGGGCTCCCTGCTTAGTGGGAAGCCTGCTTCTCCTTCTACCTCTGCCTGCTGATCCCTCTGCTTATGCTCTCTCTCTCTGTCAAATAAATGAATATTTTTTAAAAATGCTGTAATTAAAGAATAATGATTACTTCACCAGTAGGGTGAAGTAATCATAGAAGACTGGGAATATCATAGAAGTTAGGCCACAGAATTCAGTCTACTACAGTCTAACAATGCTTACCATAGTGCAGGCATACAATTGTTTTATAAATAATCAT